CTATAGATAATGGGCCCGGGAGCATCTGTTTTCTGGGCAGACAGAGGATTGAGTTAGGAGCTGTGTCTCTTTTTTTTTAATCTGTTGTCCCACAGCAAGGACATTTTATCATTAGTTTACGGGCACAAAGGAGACTAGGGGAATAGTTGACTTCAGTGAAGTGGAATTTATGTCAAGGCCACTTCACTGTCTTATATTTAAGATGGAGTCAAACTTTAGTTAGGTCTCACAACCTTTGTGTCATTAACAACACTGAGGTCCATTCCAAGAGGGACCAAAGGTCTAAATGTTAAAACAGAAGCCATCTGCTTGAAGATAAAATAGGTATAACTCTTGAAGACATAGGCATAAGAAAGATTTTGAACAGAAACTTAATGGCACAAGAAATAATACCAAGAATCACCAAATGAGATCATATCAAGTGAAAAAGCTTCTGCATAGCAAACCATACAATCATTAGAGTGAAGAGATGACCTACAGAACAGGGAAAAATATTTACACACTACTTTTCAGACAGAGGACTAACATCTAGAATATATAAATAACTCAAAAAAATTAGACCACTCAAAATAAAAGACTCAATCAAAAAATGGGTAACTACAATGGATAGACACTTCTCAGAAGGCGTAGAAATGGCTAATAAATACATGAAAAAGGTTCAACATTCCTGGCCTTTAGAGAAGTGGAAATTAAAACCAACACTGAGATTCTATGTTACTTCAGAAAGAATGCCTACCATCACAAAATCAAATAATAACAAATACTGGTGAGGCTATGGGGAAAAGAAACCCCTCTATATTGTTGGTAGGAAGGTAAACTAGTACAATCACTATGGAAATCAGGGTGGAGATTCCTCAAAACACTAAAACTAAAAGTTCCATTCCACACAGCTATTCCCCTTCTAAGCATCTTCCCCAAAGAGTTGAAGATACTTCAGTGACACATGCACACCCATGTTTATAGCAGCACAATTCATAATAGCTAAATCTTGGAAGCTGACTAAATGTCCATCAGCAGGTGAATGGATAAAGAAAATATTGTATTTATACACAATGGAGTACTACTACTGTAAAGAAGTATAAACTTGCGTCTTTTGTAGGAAAACGGATGCTTCTTGGGACCATAATATTAAGTGAAATAAATCAGACACACAAGCTTAAATATCACCTGGTTTCTGTTATATGAGGAACCCAAAATATAAATAAAGAGCAAAATGAAAAGTAATAATAAATAGGGGATAGATATTTTAGAAAAGAGAAGGGGACCAAGTGACTGAGGGAGGCAGAGCAAGGTGGAGGGAGGAAGAAAGGGCATCAAAAAGAACTGAGACGCTTTATGTCCATGCACCAGCTTCCCACAGGGAATGGAGCAATTATGCACTGCAATCATGTACAATAAAAATTAAACTACGAGGACATCGTACAACTTGAGAGTTGAAATATTTGAAGTATTCAAATAGTTCAGTGATTGAAAAACAAATAACCTGATTGAAGCATGGGCAATTTTCCCACAGAAGACATAAAGACACGTAATTATGTTAAGAGAAATAAGCTAATGACAGAAAGTTAAAATTTGCACCATTTCACTTTTATTAATTTAAAAAAAATTCAAATAAATAGACGTAGAGGACAAAGCAGTGGATAACCAGGTACTGAGTCAGGGGGAGAAAGGGGAGACACGGGTTAAAGGAATCGAGGTAGTAGCTATGTAAGATGAAGTCTAAATGTCTAATTTATCAAGTGAAGAGTACAGGTGGTAACATTTTCCTGAATTTGCTACTAAATTTCAAGTTCCAGCTGTTTTCATCCAAAAGAAAGTAGGGTAACAACATGAAGTGATGGATCTGTTAATTTTCTTCAGAACAGTAGTTATTGTTTTGTAGTTACCTGTTTAGTAACTGTATGTACCACATAACATCATGTTGTATGCCATATATACATATAGTTGTTTATTAAAATGCACAAACAACACAGAATATCAAAATAAAGAAATTTAATTATTAAGACCTAAAAATGGAATGATATTTTTTAATGTTATGTTTAAAAAATTGGTTGTCAATGGTATTATTGCTGAGCTTTAAGTGCATTTCTGTGAAAACTTTTCCAGCTATTCTATTCTGCCTGGATGTTTGTTCTCTGGTTCTTCAAGTAACCCTATCCCTTATTTCTTAACTTTGAGAATGTAATTTTGAATAAATTTTGTGTTTTGATTTTGCTAGAAACCCCAACTAGCCTTTTAAACAACGCCAGTTTGTGGTCTATATTTTAAAGATATTGCGTGTCATTTTGTATAGTTTTCTGAAGTGTAAATGGAAATTCTTATACTACAGGGTTTGCCATATCAATTTGAGTACTGCCATGCTCAAAACAATTTGTTCTGATACTTGTTGAAACAGAATAACATTCAGCCTCACAACCAAAGCTTGCCTAGGACAATATCACTTTTATTCTTTCTCCTGAAGACCACAGAATATAGAGAAATGCTTCTTAAATGAGTGCACCTTTGGCTGATACTAAATTGTACATAACACATAAATATTTGGTTGAACAAGATTTTTTAAAACATAGAGCAAATAGAGTCTTTCAATTGGTTTCAATGTAAATGATTCAGGGATAATAAAAATGTGTAAAAACATTCATATTTCACTTTGTAAAATAACAGTATAATAAAAGCTAGATAATAAATATTAAAATGACTTGGTATAAGTGATTTGACTTATTCCATGTTGCCCAACCAAACAGGAAATGACAGATGACCTTGATCACTACACCAACACTTACCAAATCTTTTCTAAGGACCCCCAGAGCTGTCAGGAATTCCTTGGAAGATCAGATGTCATCAACTGGAAACAACATTTGCAAATCCAAAGTAAGGAGCATGGGAGGTGTGCCGGGCGCTGAGTCGACTGTGTCTCCATCGGTAGGGTCTCTTCCCATCCTGGGCACCTGCCCCTGCAACTTTGACCTCCTTCTGCCAAGCCTCGGAGTCTCCACGTCATGCTCATTCCTTGTGTTGGCTGCCAGCAATTCAAGGTGTAGAATTTAGATGCTGCAGACAACGGGCTGATATGAGGAACTGTGGAGAAGTTACTCTCTTGTTAGCTGAGGATTCATGATCTACTTAGCGTGACCGATTCAGGGTCCCTCAGCATGACGGGGTGTGAGGACAGAGCTTTCCCTTAGGCCTTCCATTCCTGGAATAATAATGACAGCTCCTTATGCCATGGGCCCTCGAAGGTCACTCAGCACAACTGCTGTGGTTATGAGCATACCCTCTGTAGTAACTCCAAAGGGTACATTGTCATTCAGATTCTTCCTTTGCACACTTGAGCAAGTGACTTAACTATTACTCTGTTTCTTCATTTATAAAAATGAAGGTAATAAAATCCTACAACATAGGGCCCGGGTAAGGATTAAATGAAGTAGTATTAGACCAACGCCTTGGTAGACACCATGTGCAAAATCAAGATTGGCTATTATAATTTAAATACCATTTCTGCTTTGCCTGCACAGTAATTGTCAGGATTTCTGGGGTTATTTCTGTTTTACGTAAGAGAAAGCATTCTCAGAGAGTGACTTGGTCATAGTCATAGTAAGTGGCACTGACAGAAGCAAGATTGTCTGACGCTAAGTTCTGCTTCCCTCCAGTGGGCCGGTCCATAAACTTTGTGAAGGGACAGTTCCAGTTATCCTTACTTTCTGCCCTTCTAGGTGCCCAGTCCAGCCTGGATGAGGTCATACAAAGCCTTGCAGCTGCTAAATTGGTCAAGGTCAAGAAAACACAGTGCATTCTCTACATGATGCCAAAGACAGTGAAGAAACTGGTGCCATTCCTGCTGGACACGCAGAATTTTCGTCCTGAAGCTGAGACGCCCCAGGTCATGTAAGTCTGACAAAAGATGCTGTGTACAATGTATTAACATCTTCCGCCAAAGTGGCCTCCCAGCCTCGCTCCCTGCATCCATGTGCCTCCCTGCAATTGATTTCCAGGGTGATCCCTCTAGTCGCTATGTGGATTATGTGCTTTACCTGCTCAGAAGCCATCAATGCCTCTCATGGCATTAAATGAAACTGAATTTCTTTTACAGGTGCAACAAGACCTGCACCAGACAAGACCTTGCACTTTGGTGTCGCTCCTGTCCCCTCCTCCCTGCAGCTGTGGACTTTTTTCTGCTGCTTTAGTCTCCCACACTCACTGACGTGTGCCCGTGGGTGGTTTGCATTTGCTGTTTGCCTGCCTAAACTGTTCTTTCCTATTATCTTCGTAAATCTTTCTCTTTTGTTATCACTGTCCATACTTTCAAATTTGATTTCTTTGACAGTTCTTAATTGAGAGTTCCTCATCTGAAACGATTCTCCCCAGGCCGGGGATTTAGCTCAGTGGTTCCACCACCTGCCCCGCAAGCGAAGGTCCTGAGTTTGATCCCCAGCACCAAAAGAAACCAAAACCAAACCAAATCCAAACCAAAACCAAAAACGATTCTCCCTTTCATAAATCCTCATTATAAAACCCGACTTTTATTTTATGTACTGTACTTATCAGTGTCTGAGAACAGCCCACTTGTTTACTTAGCGACGTGCTTGCTGCTTGAAGCCTCCCCGCTACACTGAAGGCCCTGTCAGAGCAGGCATCTTCTCTGTGTGGCTTGCCAGCAGTTCCTCCACAGCCAAGTAGCACCTGGCACCTAGTAGGCTCTTACTAAATAAGCTTTTAATGAATAAACAGAGAAAAGATTTTCCAATAAAGAAAATAAATTGTGTATCTTCCCCTGTTTGCACTGTAAAACTGAATAGGACAGAAAACTGCTGATGGGAGTTTGACTGGCAGATGCTCAGTTCCTTGTGTGCTAATGTGACTGCGAGAGGTTCACTCAGCCTGTGAAGTGCATGACTGTACCACAGGAGAACACCTCCTCATTTCACCTCCCATGAGACCCTCTCGTTCACTCTATGAGATAATCGAGGTAGAAGACATCAGGCAGGATCTGAGGATGAAGTGGCTTGTTCACAGCATAGAGGTGAAGGGCACATCGGTGGTTTGAATTTCTATCTAGTCCCACACAGCAGGGTCTTTCCAGGCTGCCTCTGGAAGCCTCTTTACACCACTGTGGGAGTCTGCACACCTCCGTGTGCTATGATGGGCCATTAGGGCTCCAGCGAGTTGACTCCGCACTTCAGTTTTCCATTGCATTCAACATGATGGCCGAGGACTGTCAGATACCAGTCTCCTAAGAGTCCATGATTCCAAACTCCAGCTTTACTGCCCATTAGCATCACTTTGGGGTACTTTGTCATTTTCTGTGTACCTACTTTTCTTATCTGTAATATGGAGACGATGTCCTCTGTCTTATTATCTGTGGAGATTCACAGAAAAATTGGAAAAAACACTTAATTTTTACGAAGTGTTCCTTGTTTTGTGGCACTGTACTCGGGGTACCTGCATGCACCTTATTTATTTCTGCCTTTTAACAAAAGTGCTGTTAATACCCCTATTTTATGCAAGAAGACATGCAGGCAGAGACAGAAGTCACCTGCACAAAATCACACAGCTAGTCAGATGATGAGCCCACCTGGCTGCTGAGTTCATATCGTTGCCCATCTTCCTACTTGCTTCTCACTGCAATTTTTTTGGGGGGGACACACAATGTACTTGATACTATGGTCTGTTCTTTTCCCTTTTTCTCAATAGTAATCAAGAGATGTTTAAACTCTCATCGCTGGACGTCACCCATGCTGCCTTGGTGAATAAATTTTGGCATTTTGGTGGTAATGAAAGAAGCCAGAGATTCATCGAGCGCTGTATCCGGACTTTTCCCAGCTTCTGTCTGCTGGGGCCTGAGAAGACCCTGGTGTCCTGGGCCCTGATGGACCACACTGGCGAGCTGCGAATGGGAGGCACCATGCCTGAGTTCCGGGGCCAGGGCCTTGTCTCTTATATCTTATACATCCAGACCCAGACTCTTGAAAAGCTTGGATTCCCCGTGTACAACCATACAGACAAAGCCAACAAAACAATACAGAAAATAAGCCACCGTCTGCACCATGTCGCCATGCCCTGTGACTGGAACCAGTGGAACTGTGTGCCTCTGTGAAGCTGACTCTGAGCACAAGACAATATTGATGGCTGTGATGTGGCTGGAAGGGTGGACAGAGCAAATTGTAAGCAGCACTGAAGGAGTGGGCGTTGTTTCAGTTCTGGGGAAGCACTGTGAATGGTCAATGGGACTGTCAGGTTCCTGCACCTAAATTACTTTTCAGGTCCAGCAGCCCTGGCGTGGGCTACACCCCTCTGATGTTATCAGGACTTTCTGGAGTGGCCACCGGCCTTGTCCAGCATCTCATGGGCTCAGTGAGTCTGCTTCACGCTGCTTTAATTCTTCTCCAAGAACTCCTGTCTCACATCTGGATTACCAGTGTAGAGAACTTGACAGTTTGCCAAGATGTGGTGTCATCTTGTGGACAGTATATAATTTGCTTTTCTATGTCCCTTTATTTAGCGGGCAAAGGGTCCCGATTCTTCTACTGGAAGCCCTGTGATCTGCTTCAATGCTTAATAACCATGTTAATTTGTGAAAACGCTACAAAGAAACCCATTATCTGTATAATCAATGTGCATTAATAAAAATGAAAAGAAATCATGTTAAATAGTTCACAATTATATGATGGTCAGTGGAGATGATACCTGAGAGATTAGTTTTTTAAAATAAAATTTATTGTGTATATTTAATGCACACAATATGAGGTTTTGGATTAAATGTCAATTGGAAAATGGTTACCATAATGAAACAAAGAGGTACATCATCTCACATAGTTACACAATTTATTTTGTTTTCATGGTCACAGCAGCCACAATCTCATTTTGTGTGAATCTCATAAATGGTACAGTTTCATCATGTTAAGCATTAGATCTCTAGACCTGTTCATCCTGCATATCAGCTATTTTGTATCCTTTGATTTACATCTCTCCCTTTTCTCACCTCAATCCTCCTCTCTGATAACCACACTTTAGTTTTCCATCTCTGGATATGTGAATGTTTTAAAGACTCTCTATATAAATGAGATAATACATTTTTTTCTCTGTCTTGTTAATTCGACTTACCATAATATCTTCCATGATCATCCATTTTATAGAAAATGACAAGGGTCATTAAAAGCCATTTTTCCCCTGTTGCTTTCCCCTCCCCTTTAAAAAGTGCAGTTGTATATATGTGTAGTGGTTAGGGTGTAATGTCAAGTTGATTTGCTTTATACTCCACTTAGGGGTTTAGTGGACACACTTCTGGGCTTGTCTTGGTGGATCATGGAGGCATGGCCTTGGGATCTATGTCTAGTTATCATCCCTTCCTCAGGAGCCCTGTTTTGCTCTGGCTCTTGGCTGTCAAGAATTAAGTGGCTGTGCTCCACCATTCCCTTTGGCCATGAAGCTTTTGCCTCAGAGCCAGGCAACTACAGCCTAAATTTCCTTAAAATATGAGCCAAATTTTATCTTTCCTTCTTTAATTTATAGGTGTCAGAGATTGTGTCTCAGCAATAGGAATGCTCACTAATACAGGAAATTGGTATTGAGAATGGGACCATTACTGTGGACCATATGGTTTAGAAGTATTTGAACCGGCTTGGAGGAGGCATTTGGAAAAGTTTAGATATGTGGGCTAGAGAAGCCCCAAAATGCTCTAAACAGAGCTTGATGGGAGATTCTAGTCAGAGCTCAGAAGACTGGCTGGTAGGAATGTGGGCAGTAAAGACCAGGCTCAGGAAGTTTTAGTTGGGAACAAAGACTTCATTGGTAGCTGGACTAGAGGCCATGTGTTATACTCTGGCAGAAAATTTGTCTACATTTTGCCTGTGTCTCAAGGCTTTACTGAGATTATTGGTTGCTGAGACAAGATATCTGACACTCAAAGTTAAAGGAGAAAAGGTTTATTTGCCTCACAGTTAGTAGAGGCTTCAGTTCATAGTTGAGCGGCTCCAAGGCAGACTGGCAGGCAAAAGGGGCATCTCAGAGGAGAAAAAATTCATGGCAGGCAGAAGGCAAAAAGTAGCAAGGCAGTAAGCAGCAAGCTACAAGTAACAAGCAGGGACCCTCTTTCTGTCCCTTATATCTTAACCAGGCTACCCATTCTTACTGTGGGTAGCACTCACACCCATGTTGGACAGCCTTAATCCTAGCATTGCACCATGAATCAATCCCAGGATCACATCCTTGATCCCTGAGGCACACACCCTAGATCCAGCCACCTTTGAAAAGTCCCACTTATGACCATATGAGGCCTTGGGGACATCTAGATACAAGCCATAATGTGGACTAAAAAACCTGATGGAGGAAATTTCATGACAGCCTATAATTCAGGTTGTGGCATGGGTACTCTGGCTGCTTTTATCAAGAATTATATTGAGAATGGGGTGGGGAGGCAGAACAAAAAATTGGGGAAACTTAAATCTTGGCCCAAAAGAAATCATGTACAAAGATTGGGGCAAAGGAGGCGAGGCTGCTGAAGAGATTAGCATCATTAAAAAGAAAACAAGCCTTTTGTACAAGGACAAGAAGAAAAATGTCTTGAGGGCACTTTAGAAATCAACAAACATAAATGTACTTCAAAATGGGCAGAACTGAAAGCATAGCTTATCTTAAAAAAAAAAAAGGCTCCTAATAGCTTCTGCCACTCCATGTAAGCAATATTCACTTTTACACATGCGCAGGAAAAGTAATCAGAAATTGAATCCTGAATATCAAATCTGATGCATATCTCTTCCACTGCCTTGATTTTATTGCAGATAGTAGAAAGTAGGGCAATGAATAAGGCTTTTCTTGTGTAGTCTGACCTTTCTTCCAGTTTCCAACCTGTTGATTTTATGTAGCTTTGGTTTGCACAGTAGTCGCAGTGCCTATGGGGGCAAAGGGTAATGTGATGTTTGTGTGGGAAAGAGAAGTGCAGAGGACACACATCAGCCTTGCCTTCCAACTTTGCAAAGCCAGTGCCTTCAGTGTGAGACCGTGAAGGGGAGGGGTGGATTCTACAAAAGCCGAAACCTATGTCAACTTGGTGCAAAGACTACATTACAAGCTTCAACTCAGCAATCCCTAGGGAGACACACAAAAGCCTAACTTCAAGATTCCGCTGAACTGACTGCATCAGAGGGACATTTCATCTCTCAGAAGTCAGCTCCAAGGGTGTCTGTGAAGCTAGGTGTGGAGACAGCTTTTCAGGTGAGAACTCATCTTAAAGCAGAGACCAAATGTCCAAGCTATCATTAATAAAATTGTACATATGTGGTACTCATGCTAAATGAGTAGATTGTAGTTACTTTGGCTACACACAAAGAATGACATCCTGGAGTATGTCAACGTACTCAAAATTATATCTTTTTCACTATCCATATATTTCCCATAAGATCATGTGCTATGTCTTAAATATATGTGATAATGTTTATTTTAAAACTATTTAATGTCTGCTTTTTGGCACACCATTCTGCTTAAGTGAGTCAAATCACAATGCTCATACTGAGTTACACATAGAATATTCAGGTAAATATGCTGTAGGAAAAAGAGTAATCTCAGTTCAAGAAACAAGAATGACATGATCAAACCACAGCATGGGCAGGTACGAAAATGTCACAGTGAAGCCTGTCATTCTGTCCAATTAATATGAATTAATAATTACAATAAAAACATTTTCTAAATTAAAAAACATAAAAAATGTATCTGGCACCTACTTTGTACAGGACAGTTTTTCAAGTGAAATGAAAAATTCTTAGAAGTCTTTTCTCTCAAGTAGAAAATAAGGAGAGATTTGAGTGCCTTTCTGGAGGCAAGTAGACGAATGGAGGACGCTTCAAACATGACTATGTTTTATCGGTCTGGTTACATTATTAGGTAGGCAGTCTTTTCCTTGCATGATTGGAAAGAAGGTGGTTCAACTTAAAGTTAGGAAGGAAATAAGAATAATGCAGACCAGACTGTTCATTAGAATCATACAGCAAATAAGTTTTACTTGAAATACTACACCTGAAGATGCTACTACCACAATCTACTCCCTATGTTCTGTTTAGAATTTATGCCTATACTCTGTAGTTACATAGGAACTCTTTCATGTCCCACATTTTCTAATTTTATTTTAACATCTCTTGTGTCTACATGTATTATATATTATGCCTATGCGTATTCTGTTAAACCCAAAGAGTTGGATCACCCTGCTAGATTATACTTTATCTTCCTGTTCCCTATTTCTGGACATTGGCATTTGTTTAGCACTTGTTTGTGTTAGTGTGGCTTTATAAACTTTTATTTGTGTTTTTTCTTCTAGAGTGTTTTCTTTGGATTTGTTTCCACTTCTAGAATGTCAGGGTCTAATGTTTTGAGGTTCATGTACAAGTGTTCTGCCCACTGCCCAGCGTTGCTGGCTATAGCAAGAGTCTCAGGTTCTCGGGCAATCTCACCACTCTATTCACTGGGCACTCTGTTTAGCTGTTTGTGTGCACATTCTCAGAGGATAGTTCCAAACTGTACAGTTCAAGAAATATAAGTAGCCTGACATCTCCTGGATTTAACATAAAGTTATTCTGTGTGTCTTATACTCACATGACACCCTCATGCAACCCACGCCCCCGGGGTGTGCTCTTGAAGGAAGAGAGCTTGAGAGCTGCGAAGTCAAAGGTAACAGAGAGTGAGCCAGTGGGAACCAGCGCCTCAGAAATCAGCAGTTAGGTTTGGTGGAAACTTCTAGTCCAAAGCCAACTGGAATATTCCTGTAATCTGACAAAACTGGGAGCGTTAGCTGCCACAGTTAAGAGAAACAGCATTCCATGGGGAAATGTGACATGTTCAGAGTAAGGTTGTAAGAGGGTCTTCAGAAGATGACTCTGGGAAGAATTCAAGGAAACATGGTTGTGTTCTGGCTTGGATCCTGCTGGAAAGCACGGCAAATCCTAATGACTACTTTTGTTAGTGGAGCAGAAGGAGAGGAGCAGAGGGAAGCAAAGGGCAATCATGTGTCACTGGAGAGAGGTAGGCTTGGCCCTTTTGCAGATTAGACTTTCTTCTCGCTTTTGTCTGTACCTAAACATGATTATGAAGTGGTTTTGGTTTAAAATTTTTTTTTTCTTTTTGGTACCAGGGATCGAACTTGGGACCTTGTGCTTAAGAGGCAGGCACTGGAACCACTGAGCTAAATCCCTGGCCCGATTTTTAATTATTTTTATACTTCTCCATTATGGCCAAAAAGTGGCTTTGTCTGATGCTGCTTTTCTGTGAGAATATGACATTTTAAGGGCTGCTTTTATTACTTTCTCAGATTCATAAAGTGGAGCAGTGAGGTCCTTAAATAAGTAACAGAAAGGCAAATATACACAGTAAGCAATGACTTTCTCCTGACAGCTACAGTCAGAAATTTATAACTACTCAAGTCCGTTAGTAAGTCATCTTGACCGTGTAATAATAAAAACCAGCACCATTTGTGGAAAAGACTATTATTTTATCCATCACTGAGTTGCCTAGACACCTTTGTAGAAAATGAGTCGATCAGAAATATCCAGTCTACTGTGTGTTTCTATTCTGTTCTAACATTCCACTTGCTTGTCCTTTTACCTACATAACTCTTGATTACCACAAGTTTCCAGTAAGATTTACAATCTTGTGAATTTTATAATCATGTGGCACTGTATATAAATAAGACCCAGAGTGTCTTGTGACTGATTGGATCAATGCTGGGAGAAATGTCACCTTAACAGTAACGAATCTTCTGAGTTTTTCCCCATTTGTGTGTCATTGTTGTGTCATTGTCTCAATTAATCTTTTCTTCTTTACTGTTTAATCCACTCTTAGCCACGTTTTCCTGTCCTTTTTTCACTTCTATAAGTTCTTTTAAACATATTTTAAATTATAGGTCTGATTTTGTTTTGTGTAACGTTTTTATGTCTTTCTCTCAAGCTGCACTTTGACCTCCCCAAACTATAGTTCCTGCGTGCTCAAGTCAGGGAGAGGCTCTGCCCCATCAGGTTCCCTGAGCTGCAGTCTGTAAGCGCCTTCAAACGATAAGCTGATGCAGTCTCAACACTCACCTAGGAACTGTCTGCTTATTCTCTGTGATGCTGGAGACTGAACCAAGGACCTTATGCATGCTGGGCAAGTGCTCTACCATGAGCCACAGTCAACCTTTCTCTGTTTTCTCTTTTTCCAGAAATTATAGCCCTGCGTGTTATAACATATGAGATTTGTAAGCATTTCAGGTGGAAAGTTAAATCCAGGTCCTGTTACCTTATCTCAGCCCAAAGCAAAATTCTCCCCCCTGCCTTTTGGAAATCACGGGGTTCCCAGGTTCTGTCCTGGAGCCTGGCCTCCCACTCGGGCCAGGTTTAATGCAATGCTCTCAGCTCTTTCTCCATGCCACTATGTCAGAGCTACTTTTCTGCACTGCAGATGTCACACTTGCATGACTGCACAGGCTCTTTTCTTTCTTTTCTATGTAGTTGAGATGTTAGGGATTTAGAAGAGCCAAATGTGATGCAGTGAGCCAACTTTGCAAACGTGCTCTTTTTATGTCACCTAGTAATGCTACAAAAAGTCACAGGTCCAAGAGTGAGGCTGAGAGATGAAGTCAGTCTCAAAAAAAGTGTGAGGCTTGGTGACAGGACAAGAGTGTCAGCACTGAATATGACTTGGTAATAATTTTCGAAAAGATTGTTTATACTTAAATCATGTTAAAATGTCCTACAGTGAAGTAAATGCATAAGGAAACATGCAATGTTCAGCAACCAATATTCAACATGCAATATTCAGTGGGGAGAAAGAAAAGGAGAGTAGTGATAGTAGAAGTACTAATTGAAGGACCCTAGTTAGCAAGACAGACTCCATATTGCTGCTTGACCCACCTGCCTGCCCTTTAGATGAACTCAGAGGGAGGAAACTTAGAAACCTCCTCCCCTTAGAGAGTCTCTTAGAAACAACAATTAATCAACTATTGTTTTACAAATGTTCTAACTGCAGGACGTTCCGCTTCTGTACCTTTTGCTTGCTTTGCTAGTTCTATCCCATAGGGGGGCCTAGAAACTGTTGACCACAAAGGTGTATAAAACATGTTTGTCAACCCCCAGTCGAGGCTCGAGTCCGATGCTCGGCTCGGGTCCCGGCCAGTAATAAACTCCTGTGTGGATTTAATATCGGTCTCTGGTTGGTTCTCTCTCACTGGGTGCAACACTAATGAAATAAATAACATATTCAATGCTTTTCATATGACCAGTACTCTACTGAGCACATGGCATGTATTCACTTATTTGATCCTTGCAAGAATTCTGTGTTAGATAATGAATTATCTCATCTTCCTTAAGGCATGGAGAAGCTAGGTAACTTTTCCAATGTTACCCAAGCCAGGAGGATTACTGACAGTAGTTGAAATGCATAAGATGTTGTATGTTTTAAACTGTGCTTGTTAATATAAAGTGAAACTAATGGCTAGGGTAAGAAAGGTAACTGAAAAATTCAGAAAGAGACCGGACCCTTATGCTTTCAAGCTGTCTTGTCTTTCCATAGAGCTGGTGAGGACTTGGATGAAAACACACTGAAGGAAGACTTGACAGCCACTAGAGAGTCTCCTCCAGCTCGTCTCGTTCCTGGATATTTCTCGGTCACCTCTCCAGCCTAAGGTGTCCTCCAAGATGTTTCCACTGCAAGGTGCACAGATGCTGCAGGTGCTGGAGAAGTCCTTGATCAAGAGCCTTCCGGCATCCTTAAAGGTGACCAAGGGAAATGCGGAGGGGAGAAAGGGAGACCTTCTGTGAAAGAGGAGAGAATGCACCTGTCTGGAGCCAGGCACTGTTTGATATCTTCTCCCATGTAATGTGCATCATTTCTCTGCAAGAATCTTGCTATGACGTGCATGCCATTGGAAGGAAAGGGAGGCTCCGGATTTGCCCAATGTCACTGAGAGTGACTGGCAGTGGCCACCTCCTCCTCTGTGCTAACTGAACACATTATTCCAGCTCCTTTTCAAGGAGTGTTTACTAATAACCCTTGAAATCTGCCTAGAGTTTTCCTGAAACGAGCTGAATTTACATATTAATGTTTAATTTATTTACTTCTGAAGAACATTCGCCAGGTGAGAGGTTAACTGTCATAAGTCAACCAGGCTATTTTGGTGTCTTCCTTATCCCTGTACAACTGATTAGAAACCTTAGGATTCAATAAAACACATGCACATAAATATTTGCGTCCAGAGCTGTGTAAGAGCAGCTCTATAGATTTTGACCCTTACCCTTAGTCTCCATCAACTTTGTACTTGTGTGTGTGTCTTTTTAGGAGGAAAATTATCTCTAAACTTGTATTCCTTTATAACACATTTATATGACACTCCCATAAAGTGGTCATATATAGGGGCAGGGATTTAGCTCAGGAGTACCGTCGTCTGCCTCACAACTGCAAGGTCCTAAGTTCAATCCACGATACCCCCCCAAAAAAGGTCATGTATAATTCCTGTGTAAGATTTAGATAAGATGAATTCATTAAAATTCATCATTCTCTAACAGATTTGTTATTCCTTTATGACAAAGGAGAAAATACAACATCCTTTTATTTGTAGAACATAGGATTTTATTTTCATTCAATAGAAATAGTTTAATGGGGCATTGGCTGTGTTCTTTAATTACTACCAAAATGATTTCACATCAACTATTCTAAAAATAAAGTCAACAAATCTCATGTAGTCGTCTTCTTTAATATGAATCAATATTATATAATATTTAACTGTGTTCACCTGAGAATTCTGAAGATCCAGGGAAATCCTGGAAAGATAGCATATTTTTCTTGGATATTATATCAGATAGACTCTCTATGGACAGTAACCAGAGATATTTTATGGGACTGACTATTTTAAAAAATTCTCCAGCCTAAAAGTTTTTATTCAATACTCTGTGATATAGAATTTTGTAATTTAAATTTCCCTTTATTTCTTGTGGTAAGTGGATCCCAAACATTTTAACAAAAGTCTTGGAGATTCCCAATGGTCTTCTCTTAGAACATCCATGTGGTGAGATAAAGTCTCTCTAAGCACCTCAGCTTTCATGAGGGAAGAGCATTACTCTGGTTGTAAACTTAAGATATGCATTTTGCCCTAGCAGTAATATAAAATACTTGTGTGCTAGGTACTTTTTTTTTCAATTCTGAATTCTTTTTTAAAAAATTCTTTTATTGGTACATTTTAGGTATACAGTACATTTACATTTCTCATTGGGAACTTGTAACTTTACATGATGTATCCTGGTTCTTATTTTTTCCCCATTCCCTAAAGGAAGAGATTTTTTTTTTTGTTCCAGGGATTGAACTCAGGACCTCGCACTTGCAAGGCAGGCAGCAGAAACACTGAGCTAAATCCCCGGCCTAAAATACACATTCTGGTTTTTTTTTGGTACTGGGGATCGAACTCAGGACCTTGCGTTTGTGAGGCAGGTGGTGGAACCACTGAGCTAAATCCCCAGCCCATGTGCTAGGTATTTTTGATGGAGGTATATTCTAGAGTTCACAACTGTGCAGCACTTACTTGAGGGCCAGTTGAGAAAATATCTCCATTCTTCTAAGTATTACATATTAAATATATTTTATTAAAGTTATCAACTACAAATGATTCAAATTATAGTAGTCGCTTCCCTATGATTTCTCACTACTTTCTGAGTTCAGTAGAAAAAATATTTTAATTAGAACTTAGTTGACTTAATTTTAATAAGCTTTAATTAACTTAGAAATATTGTACATCTTCTCTTTCTTCTTGGTCTAACATCAGTAGTTCATGTGGGGTGAGAAGGATGCTGACATTGTCTTTAGGCACTCTGTTTTCACAATGAGAGATATGAAAGTACAGAACACCTCTTCGATCTGTGGTCACTGGCATATTTCCGTGCGGTATCTGATGAGCCTTTACGTTTGCAGTTTCTGTAAAGTCCATGATGGTATCCACTATTGCGTTCCCTAGCCCCTAAAACATAAGGACTTTTACCACCCACAGGTTTTCTCTCGTTCATGCTCATTCTTCTCTCTCTCTCTCCCACCCTTCTCTCCCAGAAGCCTGTACAACATGGCAGGGGTGGGAATCCAAGACTGGACCCAGGCTGTGAGGCCCCAAGATTATTCCTTTGAGCACTAGGTTACAGCCTCTGCTAGTTGATAGGAGTTCATTTAACTCTCAAGTGTTATGTGGAAATATGGGTGAAGACATTTGAAACATGTATATGACCTGAGTCAGAAATTACCTTTCTGGATAGTCTAAGAAAACAGTAGGTACACATGCAAAGATTTTGTCCAAACACAATTTACAAGGAATTATTTTATACAGTGAAAAGTACATTCAAATGGTCACTGATTGCTAAATAACTGAATGAACTGTGAAATATCCATATAGTGGGATCCTATTCAGCCATTGAAAATAAGTAAAAATGAATTATGTTTGCCAATATAGAAATAATCCATACGTTCAGCGGGGAAAATAACAACTATCAGTCATTTTATTTTTATAATTTTATAATTTTATAATTTTTCACTCAATAAAAGAAAGTCTAGAAAAAGAAAATATAGGGCCAGGGATTTAGCTCAGTGGTTTCGCCGCCTGCTGCGCAAGTGCAAGGACCCGAGTTTGATCCCCGGTACCAAAAAAAAAAGAAAGAAAGAAAGAAAGGAAGGAAGAAAGAAAGAAAGAAAATATAAAATCTCATAATAAAGAATGGTGCTCTTAAATTCATTAATTTTATTTTCCTGAATACTTTAGTATTGCATTATGATTCCCATTTGATGAGTAAACTCTTAAAATTGAGGTTAAAAAAAGAAAAGAAGTACATTGAGTTTGTTGACTTAAATGATCTATTTAGCTCTTTTAGATCATACAATGCCACAATTTATAGAAATGATTCTTGTCCAGATTAAGCAAGGGATTCTGCCATCCTTTCCTACTGAACTGACTTTCTCACTTTCTTGGGAGTCTTGCAGGTTTATGGGACTGTCTTTCACATTAACCATGGAAACCCATTCAAACTAAAAGCCTTGGTAGACAAGTGGCCTGATTTCAATACAGTGGTTATCCGCCCTCAGGAGCAGGTAAGTGCCAGATGTGGAACAAATACGCTTCCATGTTCACATTTGCTGTGTGTCTACCATGTGCCTAGAAAACTGTAAAACCTAGAGATTCAGAGATGAATTACAGTGATAGTCTACAAGTCCCTGAACTTGATAAGTTCACATCCTGGAAGAAAACATAGATGAACAGGTAATTTGCCATCTGGTGTGAAGTGCGAAAGAATAGGACATGCACAAGATATAGAAATAGTCCAAGTAAAATATGATTAAACTATGGCTGTTGGGGGATTTCAGGATAATGCTGCAGACCCTTCTTTGTGGAGGTTTCATCATCATTATATATCTATATATAATATATAATCTCTCTCTATATATACACACATATACATTTTTGTCAGACTGAGAAGGGAAGGAATACATTCTAAAAATGTAGGAAGGCATGATGCAGGACAATAAGATAGACTGACTATAAAGAGCTAAATTACAATGCTAGAATTTCTATTTTTCCATATTTTCTTGAGGAAAAGACTTGAAATTAATGAAACTAAATAGTGAATACATTTCAGAGATAAAAATTCATACACTTAAAAAAATTAAGGTAAGAGGTGGAACAATAGGGTGGAAGACGTTCCTCCAGTAATACTTTCCCCACAGAAACATCAATTTGAACAATTACATATCCATGCATGAAAATAGCAGGTGAGCTAAGAAAACCAGGTGATAAATCACAGTACCCAACTGTGGCACAATAATAAGAAAAGACCACACTAAAAATGGAATAAAGGACACTCCATCCTCAGCTTGATGTAACATAGCTCTGTCTACTTGGGCAAAGCAAAGGTAAAAATAGAATTTTGCTTTGGACCCCAATACTGAGCACCCCCCACACACCCTAGCCTTGGGTAGAATTCAATACCCCCTCATTCAAGGTGAGCACCCACATGATGAGTTTCTAGATCTGCCCTGGTACCAGGGGGCATCTCAGAACCCTAGGCTCCAGGCTTAATGGTGGGCATGGTCCCTGACTCGTACCAGTGCCCCATTGGTCTCAGCACCCTGGCTACTGGGCAGCCCGTAGTGGAAGGAAGGTCACAGAGGACTCTGAGTTGTTAGTGCTCTCCAGTGCCTCACTAAGTGTGGTTGCCCTGGGCTAAAGTGTGCTCCAGCACCATGATGGCTGAAGCAACCCTGGGCTTTCGACCAGACCAGACAGCTTGCTAAGAACCTCTGAGTAATTATCTGATTTAGTGCAATCTCTGTCAGAATAGTCAAGATGGAGAGTTAACCTGAGTGATCACTAGTGGATGAATGGATTTTTAAAATGTGGTATATATAAAAAGTGGAATACTGTTTAGACATAAAAATAAGAGAATCTTGCCATTGGTGACAACGTGAATGAACACAGAGGATATTATGTTAAGTGAAATAAGCCAGCCACCAAAAGACACAAATCACTAGACCTTGCTCACATGTGAAATCTAAAGCACTTGATCTCACTGAAGCAGAGAGTAGAATGGTGGTTGCCAGTGGTTGGGGTGGTTATGGAAGGCTGAGGTAATGCTGGCCAAAAGATACAAGGTAGAAACGAGGGGTAAGTTCAAGAAAGCTACTGTATAGCATGGTGATGATAGTTCATATAATCTTTTTGAAAAATGCAGAGAGAATAAAGTGTTCTCACTACAAAATCTGTAACTGTGAGATAATGAACATGCTAGTTAGCTAGATTTACTCTTCCACAGTGTATACACATAGTCATGCATTGTATCATCACTTTTCAGTCAATAAGGGATGATAGAGAAGGCATTAGTACTATGAGATCTTGTCACCTAGTAACACTGTCTCCATTTTAGTTTCTGAAAGTACAATCTATGATATTTGTACAACAACAAAATCACCTAAGAATGCATTTCTCAGAACACATCCCCACTGTTAAGCAATGCATGACTTCTACTTCAAAACATGTTGCATATAAAAACCATATACAATTTTATCTGTGATTTAAAAATCAATTAGAATTTAAAAATAAGATTCAAAATGAAAGTAAATAGAACATAAAATACAAAGAATTGTATTTTAATGTAATGCAAAGTATTAAAAAATTACTAGCCGGGGATTTAGCTCAGTGTTTCTGCCACCTGCCTCAAAAGCGCAAGGTTCCAAGTTTGATCCCCAGTACCAAAAAAAAAAAAAAGATTTAAAAATCACTAAAGTAAACAATATATAAAATGAAGAAATGCAAACTAATAATATAAATGGAACTGAAATAAAATTACTTGATCTTTTATACCTGATCTTAAACAATAAAAGATGTCTTTAGTGTCTTTCCTGACTTGTGAGTGCATTTTTTGTGCAATATTTTCCAACTAATTCTCATTCTACCCTTTGTGGTAATATTTTTCTCTGCCTCCTTTTTTCAAATAGTCTTACCTGTTATTTAATAATTTGAAGGTGTCTTTCTGAATATGTGGTTTTGTTTTTTCAAATAATAATTTGTTTGACCATAGTATGTTTTAAAAATAGCATTTCTCATCAGTTTACACATTGTTTGGTTTTATTATGTACAAATGGAGATTTGAAATCTACAGTTATCTGCATTAAGTCTAAGGCTGCCATGCTCATAGCTGTGTTCTGCAAGTCTTTGAGTTGTAGTCAAATTTATTCTTGCAACAGAAGCTTTCCTTCATCAGTTGCTTTATCTTCCTTATGCTGAGAATGACTAAGATACAGAATGCTGATGAATAGTTGTGTCTTGGATTTGAAAAGTTTTCTGGAATTTTCCATTATTAAATGAATATTTGAATCCCTGATCCTGACCTTGTGATTTAAATGATTCAGAAATAGATTGCACCAGTGAAAATACCAATACTTCATTACTTAAGAGTATTACAGTATAATGGAACTAGGATTAAATCACTACCTGTAAGGGGTGTTTTATTCCCCCCTTTCAAACAATAACAGGACATGACAGATGACCTCGATCACTACACCAATACATACCAAGTGTACACCAAGGATCCCCAAGAAGCCCAGGAATCCCTTGGCTCTCCAGAAGTCATCAACTGGAAACAACATTTCCAAATTCAAAGTAAGTAAAAGAATGGGACAATGCAGACTCATGTTTCTGTCCTGATAAATCCAGGGTGACTTTAGCTTCCTTCCTCCAAGCTCCAGACCCTCAGCCTGCTGCCATCAGTTTACATCTCCATCTGCAAAGGAGGAACATATCATTAACTACTGCAAAGAACTTGCGGCTTATTCTGCAGCTATGTGCAGAGTCCTTCGGGTGATCGATGCCAGTAGCAGAGTGTTGCCCGGCCCCTTCCTGGAATATGAGTACAGCTCTCTGTGTCACAAAGGTCCCCTCAGGTCACCAAGCATGACATCCTGGTCACAAGCACACTTTGCTGGACTCATACTCCCAAGGATGGCATCGGCCCCTCCTTCCAGTGTGATCCTAGACAGTGTCCTGCCTTCTCTGGGATCATAGAAACACGAGGACAATATTGGTCACAGGGCACTGAAAGATTAATTTTGAATAAGAAGAGCTGTGTACAAATCCTGGATGTGTCCATTAGCTTTCGCTGCATGACAGAGCGCATCTCGCAGGGTGCGTCCTCTGATGGGAGAGCTCTGCGCTGGCTCTTTCCTCGTGGCCTCTCCACAGACCCGAAGGATGGCTCTGGTGTCAGTGCGAGGTGGCTGCCGGCTGTGATTACCGACCGCATCACAGGAGTGTAGGTCACCAGCAAGCTAGTCGGGGGCTATTTGGTGATGTTAATCTCAAAAGAACCAGGAACAAAGAGAAAGAGAAAGCCCCAAGACACAAGCACGGTTAACCCTCTTCTTGCATTAAATTTGCTCTTTGCATTGGTGAATGCAAATCATAGAGCCAAAGCCAGACACAATGTAGGAAAGGACTATTCCAGGGAATGGACACCAGGAGGTGTGGTTAGATCTCAAGCCATTCCTGCAAGAATATACCATATTGAGAAGATAGCTCAGTAGATATTGGCTATTTTTATATCTCATTGCCTTTGATCATCAAAACTACATGATTATGTAGCCCAGAAAACTTAGTTTCAGTCTTACTACTGCCACTGTGAACACGACTGTGAATGAATTCATACCTGAACATGCTTTCATTTATACAAAACAGAAAATTACACAACTCCTTTCCAAGTAACTATTCACCCAACAACAGCACAACACCCAGAACTAAGGGTTTCCAACATTTCCTGCTCCTCAGGAGGGCTTCTCCCTGGAATGTGCTTAAAACCATCATGTCTCTTTATAAACCCATCTAGGTTCACAGTCAAGCCTGAATGAGGTGATACAAAATCTTGCAGCCACTAAATCTTACCAAGTCAAACACTCAGAAAACTTCCTCTACATGGGATCTCAGACAGCTAAGAAACTGGCTCCTTCTCTGCTGGATGCAAAAAAATTATCCTTGCATGATGGCAAGCCCAAGGCTATGTGAGTTTGATAAATGTCACTCTGTCCTGCTCAACCTCGCCACTGAAGTGACCTCCCTCCTGCTCTCTCTGCTTTGCCTTTAGCCTCCCTACAGTCAATGTTCTTCAGAGCACTCAGAGTAGGTTTTTTACAGCTATAGCTCAGACCATGTTCCCCCTCTGCTTAAAACAGTCCGCCATCTCCCCTCTTAACAGAAATAAATCGGACCTGTGCCTGTATCTCCCACTTCCACCTTTCTCCTTCTTGCTCACTCCTCCAGCTACCCTGGCTTTTGTTCTGTTCCTCCTTCATCACAAGCTCACCCATGCCTTCCTGCACTTTGCCACTGCTGTTTCCTAGACTGTCTCTCAAGATGACAGCGGTAGGGACAAATACATACCTATATTCATGGATTTTGCTTTCTTCTTTGTCTCTCCCTAGCAACCAAGACATGTTTCAACTCTCATCCCTGGATGTTACCCAAGCTACCTTTGTGAACAAATTTTGGTATTTTGGTGGCAATGAGAGGAGCCAAAGATTCATTGAGCGCTGTATACGGAGCTTTCTGAGCTTCTGTCTACTAGGACCTGAGGGGACCCTTGTGTCCTGGACCCTAATGGACCAGACTGGAGAAATGCGGGTAGCAGGCACCTTGCCTGAGTACAGGAGCCAGGGCCTTGTCTCCTATGTTATCTACAAACAGGCCTTGGCTATGGACAAGCTTGGCTTTCCTGTCTACTCTCACGTAGACAAGAGCAACAAGGCCATGCAGAGAATGAGTCACACTTTGCATCACATCCCCATGCCCTGTAACTGGAACCAGTGGCACTGCACTCCTCTGTGAGGCTGGCCCTGGCCCCCAGACAGTGTTGAGTGGGCCTGGATATTCAATGGTGGTCAAAGAAAGAATAAACTCTAGTCAGCATTGAAGGAGTGGGTGCTCTTTTGGCTCTGAATAAGCGGTGTGAATGGTCAACCCGACCACCATGTTCCTGTGGTCGTTTCACTCATGGACCTCACTTAGGTTCCTCAGCTTGAAGTTGGCCCAGATCCTCCTGTCTGGAACCCATGGAACTGAGCTCTTCACACTTCTAGGATCTCAGTGACCTTCCTTCCTCAAATACATAATGCTCAAATTGCTTCTCCTGGGAATCTGAGAGGATGAGTTGGGAGACTCTTGCAAACTTGCTGGTAAAGGGGAGATAACATTTTCCTGACAGATTCATTCTTTTCTCTTTCCATGGCCTGCCTTCCAGGGCTCAGTGAGTGGACTCTTCCCACTAGGTCGTTAGAGTAGAGCTGCTCCTACTTTCGATGCTTTATCAGTATCTTCAACACACAAAATTATGTGGGATAGTAGGTTAAGTGCAATATATAGCACAGGTAGCTACTTGGAAAATACTGCATGTCCTTTTGCAAGTCCCACTTCAGGGACAACAATCTGGTGATTCTTTAAAAGGCTGAGCTGTGAAGTTCAGATGGTTGTCTCATTGAAGAATCATTGTGGGATCAAAGAAAGAGATACTTTTGTAGACTGGAACAGGCTCGCTGGGCCAGTCTCTTGTCCTACCATCTGAAAGGAAACAGCACTCGCTGCCAATACTGCAGCAAAGAGAGTTCTGCAATGGAGATGCTTACTTGCATGAAGAACATATTCCTTTCCTGTCTACCTAAGCCTAGAAGCAGGCTGTGGGATTGGAGTGAAGGCCTCCTCTACCCACCTATCTCTAAAATGATGGCTGAGGTTTAATTTTCCTGGACAGTGAAGAGACTGGAGGTCCAGCTCAGATCAAGGCTTCCTAGTCTTGGCACGGTGGATATTTTGAAGTGTGCAACTCTTTGCTCAGTGAGCTGTCCTGTGCATTGTGGGGCACTGGCCACGTCTCTGGCACCTACCCTCTAAACCCTGGTAGCGCTCTCCATCCCTAAAACTATCGCCCCCTCATAAGTATATTTTCCGTGCACACTGCTCAGCACTAGACTCCTCCAAACTTCCTTCACATCATTCCAGGTCAGCTATATTCCTCCCTGCTGTCACTGAAGTTCTTTGAGGATGAGGCTGGGAGCCTCAGCACATGAAAGTTGTCAATTCTGGTTGTGTTTTTCACGTGCCTTTGTCAATAATAGGAGAGATTGTATTCCTATGTTATAGTTAGACACACTATCCAGCTGAATTAAGATCCCCATAAATACTGTTGTTAGGGGTAAAGAAAGCAAGACAACAAATTCAGCATTTAAGACAAAAGCATTGCAGAAAGGGAAGAGGAGAGTGTTAAACACTAAGTGGAGGCTGAGGATCCAAAGTCCAGTGTCTTAATATCAAGACAACAGGCTGCCATTTCTATGAGTGCAAACTGAGGCTGCCTTTCACCTTACAGGGATTCTCCGTGGTGAGGGAAGTAGGGAGGGAGAGGCAGAAGGGAGAAAGGGTCATTGCAACTCTGAAATGGGGAGAGGGACTCAGGTAAAGAAAACGGGCTTGTGATACGAGCAGATGGAAAGAGACCTCAAGATGTTCATGAGATGAAGAGAACAGTGGAACTTGACAGGGAAGAAAACAGCACTCTGTACATACTCAAAAACCAGCTGTTTTCAGAAAGGGGTGCCTGCGGGACAGACTTTCCAAGGGGAATAAAGCATTGTTATACCTCAACTTGCTGTGTCATTTCCTTTGTCTCACTACTGACATGTATAGCATGGTTTTACAATAGCATGACTGGTGTCCTCATGAAATTCCTCCTCTAGGGAGCTGCAGTCTGTGCCTTTATTTGTAGTTATTAACTATTTATAGTTAATAACTATAAGTCATCTACATTATCTTTTTCTTTTGATGTGATATCAAAGAAACTGTTGCCAAATCCAAGGTCATGAAATTTTTACCCATATATCTGTCCTAGTAGATTTTATGGTTTCAATGCATATATAAGTCATAGATACATTTTGGCTCATGTATTGTCTGAGGAAGGGATTCAACTCCATTCTTCTTTGCACATGGATTTGCATTTGTCCCCAAACAATTTGTCGAAGAGAACATTCTTTCCCCATTGAATGAACTTCATGTACTTGCCAATAGTCAGCCAGAAGTATAGGTTCTTTGTTTCTGGACATTTGATTCTGTTCACAATTATAATTACATTGGTTTCATAATAAAGTTTGAAATCAGAAAGTGTGAGTCACCCTACTTTGTTCTTTTTGTCAAGATTAATTTGGCTAGTAAGATATATTATTGGATTGGATTTTCCATTTCTGCAAACAGGTCATTGGAATGTTGATGCCAGGTTTGTGACCTATACAGGTCACAATGGGACGTATTGTCACCTATCAATGTTGAGTTTCCCAACCCATAAACAGAGAACGCTTTTTCATTTATTTAAACTTTTTTGAATTTTTGCAACATACTGTAGCTTTCAAAGAGCAGGCTCACACACCCTTGGTTAAACTTTCTACTGGGCATTTGATTCATTTAGATGCTGCTGTAAATGAAATTATTTTCATTTTCTTTTTGGATAATTGATTACCAGTACGTTGAAACAACTGGATTTTATTTGGGGATTTTGGATCCCATCACCTGAGTAAGACTATTACTTAATAGATTTTTGCCCATTTTTATATATAAAATCATACTGAAGTGTAGTTATACTCTTACTTCTGGCTTTTTTGATTAGATATTTTAAATTTATTCTTTCTTCCCTAATTGCTGTGGATAGAGTTTTTGTTACAATTTTAAACAGATATGGTGACATGCTACTTTTTTCTTTATCTGATCTTTTGTGGGAAGTTTTTAGCTTTTCACTTTTAAATACAATGTTAGGTGTGGATTTTCATAAATGGTCCTTATAGGTTGTGGACGTTCGCTTCTATTCCTAGCTTTCTGAGTACCTTTGCCATGAAAGAATGTAAAAGCTTGGCAAAAGCTTATCCTGTACTAATGAGATGATAATTCTTTTCTTTATACTAATTTTTTATATTGATTGATTTTCATACATTGAAGGAATGTTACATTCCTGGAATAAATTCCATAGAGTAACGATTAATGTTACTATCTGGATGGATTTGATTTAATAGCATTTTTTAGTATTGTTGCATATATGTTCATGGTGGATATTGGTCTGTAGTTTTTATTCTTTGATGTTTTTGTCTAGCTTTGCTATCACGTAATACTGGCTTCCTGAAAGAGTTAGGAAGAGTTTCATAGTATTACCTATGTTCTCTCTCTCACACACACACACCAAAAAGAAAAAAAATAAAGACAAAAACTGAAGGAAAATATTCAATTAGGCTGAACTTTGGTGTTATGTAATGTAATACTGGACTTCCAGAATCCATAAAGAGTATAATAGTATTACTCATTTACACACACACACACACACACACACACACACACACACACACACACTGGAGAAAACAAAACAAAACTGAAGGAAAATATTCAGTTAGGTCAGCTTTTTTGTAGTCAACAAACAGTGGAAATAACATGAATGTGTCTCAAATGAGAAAAGGGAAACTGATGTTTAAGGTGTATGTAATGGAACATGACGTTACAATAGAAGCTATCACTGTGGATGTAGGTAACAATAAGAATAGATCCTAGAAAGAGTATTCTAAGTGCAAGGTTCCAGAATCAACACCTACATATTCTAGGATTCTAGTCAAGGACATACTGCAAAACAAAATAATAAAAATAAAAAGTTCAACACTGGAGGAAAGATAGCCTCTTTAATAAATGGTGCTGGAAAAATTGGGTTTCAACTTGCCAAAGATTAAAACTAGACCTATATCTCTCACTATGCACTAAAGTAAAATTGAAATGGATTAAAGATCTAAACATTAAAACAGAAACACTGGTTAGGTAGAACTCTTGAAGACACGGGTGTAGGAAAAGATTTCATGAACAAAACCTCAGTTGCACGTGAACTAACACAATCAATAAGTGGGGTCTCTTCTTATCAAAAAGCTTCTGCACAGCATGAGAAACCACCAACAATGTGAAGAGACAACCCACAATGTGGGAAAAAATTTTCACCTGCTGTGCCTCAGACAAAGGTCTACTATCTAGACTCTATAAAGAACTTAAAAAATTCAGACCTCCCAAATGTAAAGACCCAATCCAAAAATGGGCATCTGAAATGAACAGACATTTCTCAGACAAAGAAGTAGAAATGGCAAATAAACATGTGAAAAAATGTTCAACATCCTGGTCAATCGAGAGATGCAAATGAAAACAATGCTGAGATTCCACCTCACCCCAGAATGAATGGCTGCTATAATGAAATCAACTAATAACAAATGGTGGCAGGGCTGTGGGGAAAGAGGAACTCTGCTCCACTGCTGGTGGGAGTGTAGACTGGTGCAACCACTGTGGAAATCAGTATGGAGATATCTCAAAGAACTAGGATTAGAGGTCACATTTGACCCAGCTGTTTCCATACTAGGTATCTTCCCAAAAGAATTAAAAGAAACATACCACAGCGATATATGCACATCCATGTTTACAGCAGCACAGTTTGTATTAGCTAAAACTTGGGAACAGCTCAGTTGTCCAACTGGAGACTGGATAAAGAAAATGTGGGGTTTTTTTAAATAAAATGGAGTACTACTCAGACATAAAGAATGAGAAATTAGAGGCATTTATAGCTAAATGAATCCACATTTGAGGCGATACTCTTAAGTGAAATAAAAAGAACACACATGTGTAAATACTGAATAGTTTCTCTGGTGTGAGAAACTGAAAGTGTAAATAAGGATCAAAAGGCATAATAGATATTGTGAAATAGGAAGAAAGGTTCAAAGGGGAAGCGGAAGTCGGAGAGATTGGGGAAAGGAAAGAAGGAAATGGAATTAATATGAGAAAATGAAAAAATGGAAACAAAGTCTTTGTAAATAGGGAGGGGTGTAGGGGTTGAAGGGAGGGCAGGGGAAGGGGGAAAAATAAGAACCAAGACAGATAATGTAAAAGTACAAATTTCCAATGATGAATGTCATTGTATATTGTATACCTAAAATGTACCAATAAAAATAATGAAAAAAAAAGTTTAGAGTTTGCAGGGTACTGAGAGTGGGAGAAGGATTTGCCTACAAAGAAGCTTCATAAAGATTAATTACAGGTGATCAGGTAGTGGCGACATGAATATACATTTGACCTAGGTTTTAGAGCTCCCTACTAATGTATATTCCTGTTATTATTTGTAAATGATGCGCTAATTAAAAATGAAAAGACAAGAAATAGCAACAAATGATACAAACATATATGGGAATATTCAAAATACTCGGCTTAGTCCAGCACATAGCTTAATTGCTTCTTCCTTAGAGAAACAGGATGAGGAGCTACAGACACCCTCATGGGAAGCCTCTCCAGAGAGCTGTCCTGCCATAATTGCCCCAGTCCCCATGAGTCCCCTCTGAAGTCCACCAAGTTGCCAGCTGGCTTTATTGTAAAGATACTAGCCTGCCTGCTGGGCCCCACTGGTCATCATTTATTCATCTGAATGTTACTGTTTGTTAATACACATAGGCTTTCTTTTGAACTGAATCTGAAAGAATTTGCTAGGAATCTGCAGCCATGGCTAGTGAAAATATCCAAGATAAAACCTGCATTAACTGACCTCAAAGAAGTAACCTGTCACCAAGTTTTTGTGCACCTTCTTTAACTTGCAATTTACAAACACAACTCTGTGGATTGTGTGGAAGGGAAAATTCTATAATCTGTATTTTACAAATAAAGAGGAAGTAAATGAGTAGTTCAAAGATACAGAAAGAATGCATGGTAGATTCATGGCCTGAATGTATATTAGCATCTTTGCCCCTAGTGTTTTGCTGGCTTAGACACCGCCAAACCTTCCATTATCTACAAGACAACTTCTTTAACAGTATTTATGCATCCGCCAGTGGAAGAATTTCTGATTTCAAACTCACTGTGCAGAAGTGACAGTCACTTCGATTCGAGGAGCCAGGTAAGCTTCCATATTCAGCATACAATTTAGTGAAAAGCGTAGTCCAAGAAAAAGTAGTAATAACATAACTACCAAGAGTTATTGGAGCACAAAGATAGAGGTCTCAAACACTTTTTCTAAACCCTTGAAGTAGAGCTGTTATAGATACTAAAATTCCATCACTAGAGAGTTTAATGTACTTATGAAACATCCTCATGGTGCTTGCTAAAAATATTAACAAAAACCATTATAGATGAGGCTCTGATTGACCAGAAAGGTAATTTGAATTTTTCACTGTCAGCTGTTCTCTCATAAGAGGTAAAAGATATATAAACTGACTCTTCATTATATTAAAAAGAATTAGCAAGAGTTCATTAAAATGAATTAGCAAGGTCTGATTTATTTTAATATTTCCCCCAAATTCCATAATCTCACCTTTAATACTATTGTTAAATCTACCCATGCACATAATGAGATGGCTAAAAGGAAGGGATTTTGAGTAGGCTAAAACTGGGTTTAAATAGTGAATTTTGAATCTTCCTCACTCTAACGGTGGCATTTTATAATAGTACTTAATTTCAGGAATAATCATTGCCATCATGATACAAAGAAATAACAATGCCCATTTTATGCACATACAGATGCATACAAATGTGTAATCACACACATATCTTATTGCATGTTGTAGAACACAGAACTAAAGGTGGTTGTGTGTGTGAAGGTTGGCAAACATGAGGTCATTATAGGCTAGCTTGTCAGATGAACTTAAAAAGGAAATAGGAGGGAGAAACCAGAAAGTAGTAATTGGCAAAACATGAATCCACTCCAAAGAGTCCAAAATTCAAATAAAAAGATTTAAAAGTACTGTTGCTACATTAGAAAAGATTCAAATAAAACACACTTCAACACAGAGTTTCCAACAAAACAGGTCTTCGGGCTAAAGATAAGCTATTAACTATGACTTCCTGACCCTCAACATTTATGATTCAGCTATGACAGGACAGTAATGAGAAAGGCTCTTCAAATCAAGTTAAGGTAAAGATTTCAAGCAAGATGTTAGCAAAAGAACAGCTCTCTCCCATAAAATAAACAGAGCCGCCAGCCAGATGGGGAGAGCATGAACAGGCTGCGGATTATGGAAGGGCGCAGAAAATCGCAGTGAATCTAGGGTGGGATCGAAGTAATGTGAAGAGTGAGGCTTCAAGACCAACCCTCCTGCGCACCGGAAACCCTGTTTGCTGCCTCTCCCTTCTCAAACTACATCCAGGCCATCACTGCAGCCCACAAGGACAGAGCAGCTCATGGTCACTGGCTTTGTCACACACAGCATTTGATGATTTTTAAGAACTAGATCACCTCATTTAACCCACACAAGAACACCTTGAGGTGTCAATTTTGTCAATGCAGAGAATCTAGTTCAGGAAGTTAAGTTGGGACTGGAGGGCCTTAGGTCATGAATGTGGATCTCACGTGCAGCTCTTCCCAGGGCCTCCGCTCTGGGTGTGAAGCTGTGTCCTCCAGTAGAGCACCCTGCTGGTTATCCAGGCCCTGCTGTCCCGTTACCTCCACTTCTGAGATGCACATGGGCCTTTGTTAAGTCACCGTGAAACCCCAACACTGAGCTTCAGCCGACAGTCAGTAATTGTAAGTTGCGACTTCATTTAAAATTTAGTTGAGACCATTAAACTTGGTAATCACTGAGTGTGGGACCACAGCTCCACAGCATAGTGTGTGGGTTCATACTTAGGTAGACACAAGTATATTCCTTAAGTTCTTGTGTTTCACAATCTAAGAGAAAATAGCAATTACTCTTTTCCACAAATTTGTTGAGGAATCAGGGAATGTTGTAAAAGTGTCTAGAGAACTTCCTGCACACTCGTTAAAAGGAAGTCTGAGAATTTACCAGGCTGGGGAAAGAAGATGTGGTTATCGTGTTAGATAACTTATTAAATTTTCAAAATCTCAGTTCACAATTATGTAAGATTTTAAAAATAGAAAGTGGATCTCTGAAGATCCTTCATTCAATAGTCTGAGGCTCTATAGATAATACACTAAATTGTTATTAAACTCATGTCTTCATTATGGAAAATCTTGAAATGCGTATTAGTGTTATAATGGAACAATGCCTATGATACGAATACATTTCAGTTTTACTGCAGTCTCTCCAGATTTAATGCTCTGCTCCTTTATTTGTCTTTGCTAGAGGGGATCTCCTGATTCCCAAACAACACTAATGGAGAACAGGACAGAAGTAGCGGAGTTCATCCTCCTAGGCCTAACCAACGCCCCAGAACTTCAAGTCCCTCTCTTTGTAATATTCCTCCTCATCTACCTTATCAATGTGGCTGGGAACCTGGGGATGCTCTTCCTGATTCTCTGGGACCTTCGCCTGCACACTCCCATGTACTTTTTCCTGGGTAACCTGTCTCTGGTGGACATCTGGTACTCCTCAGCTGTCACTCCCACAGTTGTAGCTGGGCTCTTGATAGGAAACAAGGTCATTTCCTACAGTGCCTGTGCTGCTCAGATGTTCCTGTTTGCAGCCTTTGCCACTGCAGAAAATTTCCTTTTGGCAGCCATGGCCTACGACCGCTATGCCGCAGTGTGCAAACCCCTGCACTACACCAGCACCATGACGACAAGCGTGTGTGCCTGCCTGACCCTGGGCTGCTATGTCGGTGGCTTCCTGAATGCCTCCATCCACACTGGGGACACCTTCAGTCTCTCCTTCTGTAACTCCAACTTGGTCCACCACTTTTTCTGTGATGTTCCGGCAGTCATGGTTCTCTCTTGCTCTGATAGACATGTCAGCGAGATGGTTCTTGTTTATGCAGCAAGCTTTGTTATCTGCTCTGCTCTCTTTGTTATCTTGGTATCCTACACATTCATTTTTGTCACTCTCCTAAATATGCGCTCAGCTGCAGGGTACCAAAAGGCTCTGTCCACCTGTGTTTCTCACTTCATTGCAGTCTCCATCTTCTATGGGACTCTCATCTTCATGTACCTGCAACCCAGCTCCAGTCACTCCATGGACACAGACAAAATCGTGTCTGTGTTCTACACCATGGTGATCCCCATGCTGAACCCCGTGGTCTACAGCCTGAGGAACAAGGAGGTCAAGAGTGCTTTCAAAAAGGTGGTGGAGAAGGCAAAATATTTTCTAGGAATGTGAGTTTAACATTGTAGAGTCTATAATACCCTCGTTTTATTCTTCTTTGATTTTCTTCAAGCACTTGGTGACATTTTAAGGACCACACTGATGTGAAATTTCGGAACTGCTGCCCTTTCCTGTTCAAATGTTTGTTTTCTAGAAAAGGGAAACAATGTCAGAAAGGTAATGCCTGAATGAGAACATATAAAAGGCAGTATAAAATGTATGGATTCTGCTTGTGAAAATACTAGTTAAGGAGACAATTTTTCACTCTTCCTACACACATTTTCTATGTCACATGTTACTACTGACATACGTGTAAAAACAAGAGTGAAACCCAGCCCATGAGCAGACACCTGCATAGGACCCATGTGAGCACATACATGTGAGAACAGATTATCTGGAGGTCAAGAGAAGGTTGCTGGTATTTAACAAGAATAATTTACATATTTAATTCAGTTATTAAAATATACATTTATGACTAATATTTACTTTTTTATTCTAAGACATCTCATTTGATATAGTGATAGTCTTAAATGTATATGCTTATACTTTTGGCATATTTTATTAAGAGATATAGAACTCTGAGTTTATCTTAAAGGAATTAAAATTTTTGGCTTGACTGCAGTCATTTTGTAGAGCCTACATTTTCACTTTGCACTTTTCAGAAGGATGAAATAGCCATAGCATAACAAATGTGTTTCTCATTTATCATCTCAAACTAGAATGCAAATTCCATAACAGCAGCAATGTTATAAGTTTGGCTTACATGCTCCTGGCCAAGATCTAAATAGAAGTCCGTTTTATGGTAGATTCTTAATAATTACTTCACAAATGAATAAATAATTAAACTTCGGGTTCAATTGTTTCGGTATAATGAGTCCCTGACCCACTGATGATTCTAGTTACCATCCGTAATATAAACCTTTGAGGAAGGTATGTAACACATTTCAAGAGGCACAGATATTTTTCTGCTTAGCTTAGATACTTTGTTCATATTCTCAGTCCCACTTGTGAATCTAGCGATTTCCTAGACTCCCATGCCCAGTGGATCATCTTATCATTTTTACTTTGGAACTAGTAGGACAAAAGTGATGCCCAGTTGCCACATGGCAGAACAAAAACAGCTGCTGCTAGCCAAGTGTGTTTTAGCAATAGTCACTTGTGCCCTTTATATAGAGTGGTGGATGAACTAATGGTCACCTTTAGTTGGGGACACCCAGCTGCATCGAGCCCACGTGGTTCTGGGCGTGGAGGAACCCAACTGAGGACTGTTGCTGATAGCATAAAAGGGAAAGGGGAGGGGAAGATTCATGCTGTGTATTTTCCTGAAGAAGCCTGTTGTGGCTGGTTTTCCTCATATGAACTCGGCTGTTCTCTACTCAGAGGAGCTCGGGTCCTTGCTGTCACGGGGGTCGGCTGCTGTTCTCCTCAGCGGCGCTCTGGTCTTCACCTTGGGTGTCGCTTCCTGGCTCCAGTGCAGATCCCTCAGCCTGGTGGTGCAGATCCTACTCCCTACCAGTGCTTCCCCCACTGGCCTCGGGCCTTCCCAGTGCAGATCCTTGACAGACGCTGCATGAGACACTGCCGTGGGCTCTAGGCCTCCAGCTGGACTACTTCTGGACATCATCATAGGATCCAGGCCCTCGGCTGGATTCTTCGGGTCTCTGTTGTGCAGACAGATTTCTTTCACTCTTTTGCATTTGACTTTTTGGGTGAACATTATAAAATAATCCTGTAAATTATGTGTCCTGTATTAAATCTGTTCCCTTGCAAACCCTGACTACAACATAGAGCATAAGCAATGCATGGGCTGAGGCCATCGAAAGCACATAGGAAAATTTCCATGCAAATGTAGACATATATGCACACACAATTATACTTATTTCAACATTTAATTCTCACGTTGATATTAAGCTAAACATGACTTCATACCAGTATCTCCGTTTAAGCCAATTCATCACTTTTCCCCTTTTTATTTGTAACTTGCTTCTCCAAGATTTAGAAACCTGGCACTCAATACTTCCTCTCCATAGATTTGTATATTTGACTCCAGTATACAAATAAAGCAGCTCAACAATTGCTAACCAGTATTTGATGAGAAACAATTTTAGCTATGTGAGTATTTATGTGTAACTCATTACTCATTTTTCCAAGTACTCTTTAGCTGTCAGCACCCTACTTACATGCCTCTGCATGTTGCTTTCTCTAGTATTTCCCTAGAATTATTGAATATCTTCCTATTCTGTACCTCCAAAGAACTTTAAGCCTACCCCCACTCTTCAGTTGATTTGTGAAAATACCTGTTTCATTCACTGAATTATTGTCTTCCAATGGGCAAGAACCATAACTCATTTTCCTACCTTCACTGTTATTTACCTTACCTTCATTGTTATTGATCTTTATAGCTGCAATGCCTAGAATAATACCTTAAATTGAATTGGTGTTTTAAAAGTAATTCTATAGAACCCTGCTCCACTGCTGGTGGGGGTGTAGACTGGTGCAACCACTGTGGAAATCAGTATGGAGATACCTCAAAGAACTAGGACTGGAAGTCCCATTTGACCCCACTATTCCACTGCTGGGGATCTTATCCAAAGAATTAAAAGAATCATACCACAGTGATATATGTGCGCCCATGTTCATAGCAGCACAGTTTGTAATAGCTAAAACTTGGAAACAGCCCAAATGCCCATCAACTGGAGACTGGATGAAGAAAATGTGGTTTTTTAATAAAACGGAGTACTACTCAGCCATAAAAAATGAGAAATTAGAGACATTTATAGCTAAGTGGATGCACATTGAAGTGATACTCTTAAGTGAAATAAATAGGACACACATGTATAAATACTGAATAGCTTCTCTGGTGTGAGAAACTGAAAGTGTAAATAAGGACTAAAATGTATAGTAAGTAATGTGAAATAGGAAGAAAAGGGGCAAAGGGAAAGGAAGTGGGAGGGGCAGGGGAAAGGAAAGAAGGGAATGGAATTAATATGAGAAAATGGAAAAATAGGACCAAAATCTTTGTAAATAGGGAGGACTGGAGGGGTTGAAGGGAGGGCTGGGCAAGGGTGAAAAATAAGAACCAAGAGAGATTATGTAAAGGTGCAAATTTCCAATGATGAATGTCATTATGTTTTATACCTAAAATATATCAATGATTAGAATGAATAATAGAAAATGCAAAATAAGAAGAAAAGGTCCAAAGGGTAGTGGTAGTGGGAAGAGCAGGGGAAAGGAAAGAAGGGAAAGGAAAAATGCTGAGAAATGGAAAAAATGGAAATAAAGTCTTTGTATATAGGGAAGGGTGGAGGGGGTGAAGGGAGAGCTAGGAATGGGGAAAAAAAAAGAACCAAGATGCATCATGTAAACGTCAAATTCCCAACGAGAAATGTAAATGTGTTGTATACCTAAAATGTATCAATAAAAGAATTAAAGAAAAAAAAAGTAATCCTATAGGAAGAAACTGTTCAAAAGGAAAGGGAAACTGTGAAGAGGGAGGGGGAAAAAGGAAGGGAAAAGGGAAAAAAAGAAAAAATGGAAAAAATGGAAACAAAGCTTTTGTAAATAAAGGAGGAGGGAGGTTGAAGGGAGGGGAAGGGATTGGGAGAAAAAGAGGAATCAAGACCTACCATGTACAGGTACAAATTCCCTTTGATGAATGTGATCATTATGTATATTTAAATTGTATCTATACAATTAATTTTAAAAAGTATCCATGTATACTTCCTTTATTTTTAGATTTAAATTTTCTGATCACTGCCATGTTTTCTAGCATTACTTAGGTCAGCTATCTATCCCCTCCTATTTCCCTTTAGTGAGGTAAAGTAAAACATCTGTAAAACACTTAAGACTCTGCATCACGATTTTAGAAGGAAAGCTTTCAATTTTCCCCCATTTAATATGATATTGGGAGTAGGTTTGTCCTAAATGGCTTTTATCATGTTGAGGTAAGGGTTCTCTATACGTATTTCCTTCAGGGTTTTTAAAATCATGAATGTACACTGGGTTTTGTCAAAGGCTTTTTCTGTGTCTATTGAGATGATCATGCAATTTTTGTCCTTGCTGTTTATGTGATGTGTCATTTTTTTACATACTATGTCTTTTCATTGGAGAATTTCATCCATTTACATCAACTTACATTCAAGGTTATATCAATAACCTTATATTAATAATAGTTAAGAAGTTAATAATGCCACTTTTTAATTTTCTTTTTCTTTCTTTTTTTGGATGTGTGTTGTTTACTCCTTTCTTCCTTTCTTATTGTCTTTGTGATCAGGTGATTTTCTCTGTCATCATTTATGGAAGAGAGTATTCTTCCCCAGTGTATGTTTTGCTGGCTTTTTTGATAATCAATTTGATGTAGATATGTAGATTTATTACTGGCATCTCTATTTTTGTTCCACTGGTTGATGTGCTGGTTTTTATACTGGTACAGTACTGTGCTGTTTTGGATACAATAGCTGTAGTATGTCTTGACATCCCTTTCCATTGATTATCACTTTCCATCCTTTCCTTTTCTGTCTGTCTTTACCAATGAAAAGTCAGTAGCACATTGTTGAGTCTTGTTTTTTTAAACCCATTCACCTTACCTGCATCTTTTAATTGGTGGATTTAATCCATTTACATTCTAGGTTAATACTGATAAGTGAAGATTTACTCCTGGCATTTCATTTTGTTAATTTTGCTAATCTTATCTATTTTGAGTGTTCTTTCCTGTCTTGTCTCTTACTTTGTAGTTTGGGTGGCTTTCAGTATTGATAAGGGTTGGTTATTTTTCCCTGGTGTGTTTGGTCTTTCACTGGGTTTTACGCATCTGTATGCTTTCAAGGTGATGGCAGTCATTCTTTCACTTCTGGCTGCTCTGATAGTAATGAGTTCTCATGTGCCCTTGTCCTGGAAAGTATTTATTTCTCCTTTATTTCCAAAGGATAGCTTTTCTGGGTGATATATTCTTGGTTGGAGGTTTTCTCCTTTCAGAACTTCAAAAACAACTTCCTGCAGGTAAAAGGAGAAGGGACTCGTGCATGAAGCCAACATGCGTATGGAGTCAGAACAGGAAGGGTTTCCCTGGGTGGATATGGTTGCTCCGGGCCTTCCTTCCTGGGAGAACCTCCCAGTTGGTGACAGACCCTTTCTGAACAGATCCTTTTTGGACTAAGCAAGCAGAATCTCTTCTGCACCTGAAAGACAGGCAGTGGCAGGATGCTGTCTTGTGAAACCACTGGATACTGAGAGAAGCTATCCCAGTAAAAACATATGTGGACCCACCTAGGATTCTCAAACACCCAGAATAGTGCTGAAATCTGATGAGGAACCCTACCCCCAAGACTGA